CCCCTGGATAAGCCATGGCAGTCACTGTCTTTGGCTTGTGCTGAAGCCAGTGGGAGCTTAGCACAACTCATTCTTTAAGAGCAACGTCTCTGAATAACAAGCAAGCATGGCATGGCAATCGCTGAACTGAGTGAATAACGGGTTTCATAGGTGCTGTCAAAAGGAAAATCCCAGCTGGCTCCAAAGAGCTTTCTATGTGTGTTGGCAGGTCCTTGGTATTTCTGCCAGACAGGGAGGGCAGGTCCCAGCCGAGAGCCGAGTACAGCACATCCAGGCTTACATAACCCAAGGGCCCAGGGTAATCATTAACGCTGGATTACTGCCACTGCCTTTGTGCTGGAGTCACCTGGTTGTTTGGATTAAATGTATAGTGGCCATTTAGGCAAGGAGAAGGCTCCGGGCACAAGGACTTCAGTGAAAACAACCCCCAGGGAGGGTGGGAAGCAGAAGACTGTTGCAAATATCACAGGATCTAAACTCAAGCACTCCCCCAGGGAGCCAGAGTTGCTGCCTTCCATCCCAACACCCTGCTCCACGGGCTGGTTTGCTTTCCACAGGGGTGCAGCTCTCCTCAAAACCAGCAGGGTAAAAAGCCCCCACACAACACAGGTCAGGGGGGCAGAACTCTTCCTAGGGAGCTTTACCTTGGTGACTCCCACGTGTGGCACACCAGCAAGCAAGATCTCGTTCCTCTCCCCTTGGCATCCTTTCCAAAAGCACACATTATCAGTGCAACCTGACTTTACCTATGTCCTGTCCTTATCCTTCTTTGCTTATCTGATGTCTCACGTGTGCCATTACTGTTTGCCTCCTGTGTGTTCCTGGCATGTGCTCTGTGCCACTGTCTGGGGCAAAGGAGATTTAGGACATCTTGGTTCCGCTCCCATTTCCCCTCCGTGCTGCTCTGTGGTCTCGGACACATCACTGCACTGCACTATGTTTAGCCACAGGTCACACAAGTCCGGTCACCTCACAGAAAGATCACTTAACTCCTATTCCTCCTGCTTAGTCCTTACCTCGAGTACAACCTCCCCAGCTGACAGCTCCTCACCTGCCCTAACACTGCTCCTTCACCAGAGTTCTGACAAAGTTCTGACAAAGGGACCACAAACTTTTTAAAAACACACAAAGCATTAGGAGCCAGATCACGATCATTTTGTGAAGGCTGTTCCTCTGCACACATGTCCACTCACACCTCAGAAACCAAATTACAGAGGCTTGAAGTCAATGAGACAGGCATATGTATAATCATGCAATGCTGTGCTTTGCCGTGTAGAGTTGCTGAAGCTGGGACAACTTATCCAGTTGTGGCATCAAAACACTTAAATATATGTTTATCTTCAGGTGGAGTAAGTCAGGCTTAAGGCAGGGCCACGTTTTCCTCATGAATCCGCAAAGTCCAGCCAAGCCAGTAATTCCACACAAAACAAACATCAAAATCTGTTTTGAAAATTTCTACTTTTTTGGGACAAAACTCTGAAAATGTCAATCATTTCAAGCAGAACTAACTCTGCTTTCACAGCAAACATGGCCCTACTTTTTTCAGCAAAATATTGCAATTTTTATATAAACTTATATTTCCTTAGGTATTAACTAGAAAAACCCACACAATTCACACTCAAAACCCACACTTAAAACACACAAGAGAGAAAGGAAAAGAGAGAGAGAATACACATTTCATGGAAAATATTACAGGCTAAAACAAAACTTAGATCTTGGATTTCTGCCCTGCTGTGCTCCAACAGTGGGCATTTTGCATTACTCCACTTCAGCTTTAAGTATTACCTCTTGCAGAAAAATAGCAACTTCTGCCCCAAAGGCCTTGCAGGGTGAATTGCCCAACTTTACAGCAATATCAGAACTCCAGGTGAGACAGGGAAGAGACAGATGTTGGTTAAAAAAAGCAGCTGGTTTAATGGATGAAGTGGATAGGGTGAGAACAGAAGGGAATTGCAGATCCTCTTGGTGCAGGCCTGCTAATTAGAGCTTAAAACCACTGTCCTGAGCACTCTGGTCTTCAAACTACATTTGAGGAGGTAACAACAACCTGGATTGCACAGAACTTAGTCTGCCTCATCCCTCGGTCCTCTTGCCAGACTCAAAGGGATTCTCTGGGAAAAATAATCAGGGGTCTAGAGAGCCCTGGCTCGTCAGCTGGCGCTTTTTGGTAGCTGTTCTTCAGGGAGAGACTTTAATCCCTCAGTGCTTGTTAGTCTCAGAATGATTCTTGCTGGGAGAAGATCTGGAGCCACTGCACCATTGCTCCCATGGAGACTCAGAAGTGACTTTAACACCAGTCGTGGTGCTGGTTTCTTCTTCCAGCGGAGGCCAAGGCAAGCAGAAGCACAGTGCAAGGCATGTCCCAGCTTGCAGGTCACAAGAGCATGGTGTTCAGGCCCCTGTTGTTACAATGGAAGCAATGGCTTTTGCAGAACAGGGCGTTCTTCTCCTTAGGCCTGAGGCAATTCTTCCTAGCACAGCTCCTCCACATCACTCTTTCAGGCGTGGGATTTACAGAAGAGCCAACTGAGGTGCCCTGGCACCAAGACCATCATGCTGGACCTTTCTTTAACAACCTAATCCTGTGACTACCAGTCTCATTGCTTGCTCCATCCATCCAAGGATCATACAAACACAAATTAAGTCCCACAGTATAATTTTCATGTGTTATTATCCCCGTTTTACAAGAAAAGGAACTGCAGAAGGCAATCGAGTCCTTTGTCTTGGGTCAGCCACAGTCTGAAGCAGAATTTGAAGCCCTTCCTTCTCCACACTAACCACTAAAGCTGGAATTCATCTGAAACCTGCTTGCTCTACTTTATGAACCACCATTTACTGCACCTGTAGACCTGTTCCACAGCAGTCAGGAGCCATGGAAGGCGTTTGTGTCCCAGCGTGGCTGCCAAGCAAGGCGTGAGGGCTCCAGTGAAGAGAGACAGCTGAGGCATCTCCTGCCTCCCAAGAACTTTCTGAGATGAGAAAAACATCAGAACTGATCCATCATCTCCCTGTTACACAGCACCTGAAAAGTTACATCCAGGTGAATCAAAATTTCAAGTGTCCTGATTACAGAGCTGGCTATAAAGGAAATTAATGAATAATAATTTCAAGGAGGGATTTAAAATTTCCATTTTCATTTTATTGTCAAAGTAAATATATTTTTATGAAGAACAAAAGAAAATATACAGAATTGTAACTTATGTACACTGGCTTTATAGGTATTTTTGTTTCCAATTTACACAAATTTGATACGTTATTAAAAGATATTTTATATAGATATGCATCTATGTACAGTTTTATTTACATACATTCATAGGATGTGATATAAACCAGTCAATAGATGATAGTTCATTTATATTAATTTCTAGAGGACAAAAGGAATGCATTCACTTTAGCCAGACCTGCTGTTCTCACACAGCACGGGCTCCTGCTCTGCCCAGCTCTAGGATCACACTTTCCTACTTCCCATTTTGCCAACAGAAAAGACAAACAGATGCCGTCTGCGAATGGAAAGGAAATGCAACATCCATTATAAAATCATTCCTAATTACTGAATCCTATTTTCTTCTAAAGCTTCTTACAATCGCCAGAGTTCAAAAGGAAAAACAAAACAAGAAGAAACAGAAATAAAATCTCTTGCCTGCTACCATCTGATTATTTGCTTTAATTCCCTTCTTAGCCAGCTATCACACAAATTTGTTTCTTTTGGCTGCTGTTCTCACCCATTCTCCCACCCCAGCTGCACGGAGCTCTGACATGGCTGTCGGGAGGGAGAGGACCAGCACTGAGGATCACCCCCAGACCTCAGTCTCACAGCGCTGTCCCACCAGGTCGTGGTTCCTCCCACCCTCCCTGGGCACAGGCACACCCTACAGACCCTGCCAGCCCAGAGAGCCTGAGCTGCACCAGCCAGCCTTGACTCCCAGTGGGTGTGGGGGTACCCAGTGCTCACCAGGCACCCCCAGGGCTGGGGCTCTGCGTTCTTGCCCCAGGTCGCACGAGAGGGCAGGAGCAGAGACAGAACAGAGCTCAGAGGCTCTCACAAACACCCTTGTGCTGCCTTGTGGGCAGACAACAGCTCTTCTGCTAAAGACAGTGATGCTGCAAACCAGCCTCAAAGGAAAGCAGTGTCCTTTGGAACCTGGGCATCCTTTCACCCCGCAGCAGCACAGGACAGAAGCACGCACACAGTTCCAGAGGCTTCACTCCAAGCCATTCCATCCAGCCTGAGCTTCTGGGTTTGCTTGGGATGTGTCTTTGCTTAAATATATATATATATATATGTATGTATGAATGAATATGTATACATAAATATTTATATATAGCCCTAGCCAAGGGAAAGGTAAATGCGAGCTGGGAAAATCAGAGATGCATGGAGGCACATTCCAGTGCTCTCCAAGCCCTGTCTCCCCCTATCCCCAACTCCCACTGTTCCTCCTCCTATGGCCAGCTCCTACAAATCCTTGGCTCAGGCAACCCAAAAACAAAGAAGTTGTTTTCATTTCAAAAGGAATTTGCTGTTTCCAAACTGGACAAATAGAGCAGCTTAATAAAAACTCACAATGAGTGGCCTGTACATGAGCAAAGCCCTCAGGAATGCCGGGCTATAATTAACTAGCAGCAAGCAACTTTTACATTTTCCTGTGCAGCAGAAAACAGCTAAAAATAAAACACTGTAATTTCCAAAAGAAGCAGCAGCAGCAAAGGAGAGACAGATAGAAGGAAAGGAAAATAATATCCTTAAAAGAAAAAAAAAAAAAAAAAAAAAAAAAAAGAAGAAGCGCCCCGCTCCCCTGACCCAAAAAGAGCTTCATTCCCAAATCATCTTTGAAGGACATGGGGCACTCAAACATGGTGGTGTCAAGTAACAGCATTGACTGTTCTGTGGAGACAAATAAATTATCACTAGAAACGTAGTGACAGATAAATTATCACTAGAACCATCGTGAGCAAAGTGCTGTGGTGGGCTGGTGCGGGACGGCCGGCGGGAAGGGGAGGCAGAGCCCTCAGTTCACGGAGCGCACGGAGCGGCTGCTGCGCGGGAACCGGTGCACCTTGACGTGCTTGGACAAGTGGTCACTGCGAGCAAACTTCTTCTCACACACTGGACACTGGTAGGGCTTCACCCCCGAGTGGGAGCGCCTGTGCCGGGACAGCTCGTCCGACCTGGAGAACCTGCAAGAGAGGAGAAGCCTTTTCAGATAAATGCGGGTTTATTACGCTAAGTTTGTCACAGCGAGGTTAAAAAGTCCCCTCAGGACACTGAGGGGGTATAAGGGACACACAGCAAGGCTGGGCTGGTCGCAGCTCACAGGAAGCAGCAGTGATGGGAACACAGAGCTACCAGCCCTGGACTCAGGGCAATGCACGGAGGCAGCATTGGTAGCAGCCTCATCCTGGACCCCATGACATGGGTATGGCTTGACAAAACCAGTGCTGCCCTCGATCCCCCTGCAGTCCCTCCAAAGCCACCCCCACCATCTCTCCCTGCAGATCCAAGCACAGGCTCCTCCAGCACAGACAACAACCACTGTCCTGCAGGTGAGGTCTATTTCAAGATCCCACTGACGCAAGCACAACAGACACCCCTAACTGCACCCAGTTTGAGAGGGATTCCAGATAAACCCAGCCACAGATACCTAGAAACAACATCACTTATTAGATCCAGATGAAAAATTGGCTTCCATGTGTGCTCCTGCAGGCTACATAAAGAGTCATTAATAGTACCAGAGATGCTCAGCATCCCAACAGCTGAAATTCAGGTGGGTCCCAATGGTCATTTGCATAGTAATTTGCATAGTTAGAATGGGTAAATTAAATCAAGAATGAGTCTTTAATTACCAAAACTGTATTCCATAGTCTTTTGAATTTTAGATATTTTCCACCTTCCATCTCCATAGAAAAATCCCCAAATAGCCACCATGAATCCCACAGACTATATTGAACCCAAATGAGCTAATCCTTTGGCCTTAAGGGCAGGGCTGTCTCTATTTCCACTTTGGACATGACTAGGAGACAGAGGGTTAATTAACAATGTCACGCTAAAACAGCCCTGTCCAGATGGGTACAAAAAATTTGCTGCCTGACAAAGGGCAATTAAGTGTTTTGTTGCCAGAGCAGTAACAAAGAGCAGCACAGAAAGAGAGCTTGCAAGAAATGGTATCAGCTGTTTATTTACAATAAATAAGTGAAGTCATGGGCACTAGCTGAACAAATCAGGGAAAGAACATGTAGAAAAATGTGCTCTTCTGGAGCAAAATATCACATCACCAACAGAGCAAATACGCTATTTTTATGAAAGGGAGAAAACAGGACTGCTGGGCTCCTATGAATAAATCCCTCATGCAAGAAAAGTAAGTTTCCACATAAAGGTTTTAATTAGCTCTGATCTCCTGCCAACAGTTGAGGACCAGGGCATAGGCACTGGGAAAGCTGGTAATGGTTTCCTCAGTTGCTGCAGCTCTTCAGGCTGGTCGTGCTCCCCAGAGAGCACTCAGCCCCTGGAAAGCTGATCCAGGCACTCACCACAGGTAAGGTGTGGTGTGGGCATCTGTCCCAGGGGCATTTCTAGGGGAGATTCTTTCACCTATCCACTTGCTTTTCTTCCTTTCCTTGCTCTGTATCCTCATGGCTAAAGAGTCAAATTCTCCATGATGAACTGGCAGCTGTTATGGAACTGTCCACCTGCTCCTTGTCTGGGATGACTCTTCTTCATAAAGGCTGTGGCAGAAGTTTCTCTTCACGCCTTCTACTTGCATGTTTGCTTTCTCTAAAACCCCTGGTCCTTTCAGCCACAGCTTCCCAAAAACACAGTCTGGACCCAGGAGCAGCAGGGTCAGGGATTTCTCCCAGGTCCTTAGCAGTGAGCTAGTCCCAGTGCCACATCCCTGCAGGGATGCTCTTGTAGAGCTATGGTGAGTGGGCCTGGAGAGTGTAGGATGCTGCCTGTGCAGACTGCCTCAACAGGACTGAGTGCTGGACAAGGAACAGAGCTGTGCCACATCCAGGGAAAAGAGGAAAAGCACTTCTGCAAAGAGCCATCCTCTTACATACAGACTTCAAAGAAGAAAAACCAGATGTGGCTGGGTTGCCTTGTCCTATGTCCTTGGCCATTAAGGTCACCATCTGCACCAGGAGTGCAGTAGCACTTGGCTAATCCTGCACAAGAGCTCACAAGTGCATTTTGAGGGGAATTGCATGGATGGTGGGGGAGAAAGAGGCACATGTCAGGAATGAGCTCGGATGAGTTCATCCGATAAAAATACACTCTGCCTCATAACCATGTCCTTAGCTGAAGAGGCAGGAATGTTGCAACACTGTTCCCCAGCAGTGACGGAAAGATCAACTTACAGAGCCCACAGAAATAAACCTCAAGCTGTCTGTGTGTTTACAAAAAAACAACGCAAAGGTTAGGACAAGGAAGCTGGGAGGATCTGGCGGTCTGGCTCTGCAGTGAAATATCTGCAACACACTCTGGCACTGAGATCAACCCAAAGAAAGTGAAAATAATCCACTGTGGAATGCAAAATTCAAAAGGGAAAAAAAAAAAAAAGGAATACCAATGAATACTATTCTGTCACTGCCATTTCTAGAAGGATTCCTCCTTCAAAAGAAAAGTGAAGTGATCTGGGAAATCCCACAGCAGCTAAAAGAGCCTTCTTCATCCTTCTATCTGGCGGGACCCCAAGGGACTGTAACTATATCTCCCTTGAAGAAAAGTCCTAGAGCTCCCTGATGTGTAGGACATGTCCTGTGTCTCCCAGACATATGGGGACATTCCTATGTGGCTCATGGAGCCAGAAAGGTCAATAGCTTTAGTCTGGTACTCCTGTCCCTGCCATGGCCACCAGCCATTGATGCCAACTCAGGCTGTACCTCTCCTCCAGTGGAGGAAGCCTCTAGATCCCTCCTGCCCATCCCCAGTCCTTTCCTACAAGGAACCAGCACAGCTCCTGTGCACCTGCCATCCCCTTGCACAGCAGCAGCAAGAAAAGCCAATGCAAGAAGCCTGCCCTGCCCCGTGTGTGGTACTGCCCATGGCCATGTGTGTTACGAGCCCTTAAACCCTCCCTGCCAAACCTGCAGAGCTTATGGTTCATGCTGTCACCAGCCAGAAGATGCAGTGGGGCATTTAAAGGCGATTGCCTCATCCCCCAGCCTTGCAGCAGCTGCAGCTTTGCACAGGGCTGTGCCAGGGAGGGGAAGCAGGAGCTGCTCCTGCTCTGTGCCATAGCACAGCTGCTGGGCCCTGCAGCTCAGCTCTTTGGCCTGAGCAGTGCTAACCAGAGGCTGGGGTGCCAAAGGTAGAAGGTGGCAGGACACAGATCAGTGCCCTGACCCGTCCAGGGAGCACAACGGGTCACTGGCCACTGCCAGATGAGCACCACTCTGCAGACTGCCAAAACCAGCCCTTGCCCCATGTCTAGGAAGGGCACAAGCAAGCAGGGTTCAGCTCCATCAGGGAGGTGCCAGGGGTCTCCAGCCATCCTAGGGGTTGGCAAAAGGGTTTGCTGGGTGCACACTCCAACCCTGGCGAATTTAAAACATCATGCACAGAGAGCTGAGGAACCTTTAACCCTCCCACTGAGCTCAGGCACTTCGTGCTAGGCAACACTTTGTTTTGGTTTTGAAATTACTATCTCCAGTGAGATCAGCTCTTAAGTGTCTTCAGTGAAAAAATAAATACACAAGCACAAGAATGCAGGGGGAAAGGGGGAAAGCAGAGTCCAGCAGTGTTTTAGTGCTTAAATTCATTTGAGATTATGTAGAAGTGGGAGCAAACAGAGTGGCCAGATGCAGTGGACTTAAGTCATGTGAGACTTAAGTCACAGCTCTCGCTGAACTTCTGAAAAGGTAAACATGGTTTATTGATGAAAGGGGACTGAGTAATTCAATGCTCAGTTGGGTCTGGCCTTTGATGTGGAGCAGCACGCAGGGGATGTGCAGCAATCTCAGGCTGGTGCTGAGGATTGCTGTGAGCACGGGAGGCCTCTCCCCAAAACACAGCCTCTCCTGCTGGCTATAGAATCTTTTAGCACAGCACTTCCAAAGTTTGGGGGTTTTGGGGATTGAGACTACAGCCCAGGCTGTGAAACTCAACATGACAAACAGCACAAGAGTTTGAAAAGCCCTTTGCAGCAGCTGTTTGTGGACAAGACACATGTTCTTCATTATGAAGGTGATTAATTTCTCCTTCCTGTTGGGTTCATCTTTAAAAAGTTGTGGTGGCTGAAAGTTCAGGGTGCTCCAGGCTGTGGGACCAGCAGCCAATGAAGCAAATCATTCACCACAACATTTCAAGAAGAGAGGCACCTGTTGTAAATTTAATCAACTTTTATCACTTAATATTTTTCCTAAATGTTCCCCTTGCTTTTATATCTTGGGGAACACCAGCTTTGTGATAAGACAGAGCTGGAGAAGGTCATCCACAGGCAATGCTTCAGGCTCCTGATCCTGAGCCACAGAAGTCCCTGGGAGCATTGGTACAAATCTCAGTGTGGATTAGACAAACCTTCACGTGCCACATGCATTTGTCACAAAAAGGAGAGCCGTGCTCACATGCAAGGAAAGCCAGCATGACACCCACAGGCACATCTGCTGCCTGTGCACACATACTCTGGCAACCAAATCAAAAGCAGCAGGTGCCTGTCCTGCAGGTTGGGAGCAACCAGCCCACAGTTTCTGGGACCAACCAGCTGAAAAATGCAGCTTTGGTGAGAGGATACCTCAGGGTATCCTCTCACCAAACTGAGCCCATGAGAGGTGCTGCCAGGGCAAAAGGAAAAAAATCATGACCAGTTTGTAGAGCCACCATCATCTGATCTTCTCAGCCCTTCTGAGAAACAAACTTCAGACTGGTCCAGCTGGAGAAGAGAGGGTTCAGCTCCATTGTGACCTTTTCCCTCAAACCAACCCAGCCATCTCTAACTGCTGCATGTCTCACATACTTGCATTTTTACACAACATTCTCCTGTTACTTTTTACCTCATCTGTTGCCCATGATCACAACCCATTTTCTCATTACACATTGCTCACTGAAGCTCTGCAGTATATATTTGCAAGAAATTCAATTTAATTTAACACAAGGTAGTTAAGATTATATTTTCTCCCATCATCATTTGTGGTGCTGTACATTAGCACTTGCCAGCAGGCAAGCCAGTAACACAGCTAAGTGGAAAGAGGGAAGAAGGCACCTGTCAAAGCTTCCTTAAAATAAAAAGCTGATATTTTTAAAAAAGACTAAATTTTTCAATTCATATTAAAAATAAAATAAAATATTTTAAAAATCCCTCTGCCAAACATTTTCTCAATCAAACTTGCAATCTTTCATTCAAGCAATGCTTAACTCCACCTCAGCCTTCTGGTTATGTTGTTACATCTGACAGCTTTTTTGCAACTTTGAGTGGCACCCACGCATTTTTTCTGAATCAAGACGGAGAATAAAACCCAGAGTATGCCAGAGTGTCACTGCCAGCATTTTAAGAAGGAGTGGGATGGAGTGCATTTTCTATGAAAGTGCACAGAATACTGCTTTTAACCATACTTGCTTATCACAGCCTTTCACTGGCCACGTTTAGTCCCACACAGGGCTGTGCACAGCAATTCTGCCCTCAACCACTCAGTTCCCTCAGCCTCAGCTGGTGCCAGCCACGGCTCTGCTGGGGCTGCTGTGCTGCAACCACACCAACGCAAACACCAGCTCTTACCTGTGGTAACAAGCTTAATCTGACCCTCTAGAATGAAATACAAATTATGACAGACTATTTTATTTTTTTTAAGACACTAAAACTGCTGGTGCCAGCAGGTGATGCTGTCCTATTTAATGTATCAAAACCCCTGGGTTACCTAACAGGAAGAAAAAAAGGTCTTCATTGTCAAACCAACCAAACAAGTTCTGGCAATAGAAACAGTTTATAAATCACAGTACAAACCTACTTGCTCAGCAAGTTAGGCCAAGTGAGCAGAAAGGGGAAGGGGGACGGAGAGCTGCACCCCAATACTGACCTCCATCCACAGCCCGGCCACGTGCACGCAAAGGGCTTTTCTCCTGTGTGCCTCCTCAGGTGGGCTTTCAAATGGCTGCTTTTCGTGTACATCTTGGTGCAACCAGGAAAAGAACATTTATGCATTTTAATGAGTTCAGCTGCAGGGTTCTTTTGAAATTTCTGACCCATGATGATTCCCGTCTGCCCCTGGATCATGCCTCCTGGCCCAATTGGCTTGGCGGCGATGGGGACGGGAGCAATGCGGACAAATTTAGAGGACAAGTTCAAATTGGACGACTGAACTATCTGAGGCACAAGGGCAAACGTCTGTCCTTGGATGTTGACTAGGAGCTGTGCAATTTTAATGTTCTCCTGTGCTGGTCCTTGGGAAGTGGGGCTCGTGCTGGACTCCTGTTTGATCTGCACAGGCTGAATTTGGAGCATAACTGGTATTCCATTCTCCAGGGTCATTGCTCCATTTGAAGCTTGGCCACCTTCCGTTGAGCTAGTTAACTGCTCATTTTTACTCTCTTTTAAACTAGTACTGGGTAACACATGGTCTTTTTGCTGCAGCGAAGCAACAGAAACCTGGCTGCAAGCTCTCAAGTCCTTGGTCTCGCTTTTAGGTCTTTCTTTGAGCTCCAAGTCCATGTTCTCCTCCAAAAACTCCTCAATTTCCTCAAGCGTGGGCTGAAATGGTCCTGAGTCTTCCATATCCACGGCAAATTCAGGCAACCTAAAGTACTCCTCTTTCACTATTGGCTGAAGTCTCCTTTTGTCCCACCATGATGCAGTGGTGTTCCCCAAAGATGCCTGGGACAATAAATAGTCTAAGATACTGTCCTGACTTTCTGCACTGGATGTGCTTCCATAGCTGGAGCTGAGGACCTGGGAGTCAGGGCTGGAACAAGAACAAAAGCTGGACGAGTCACTGTCATCTTCTGACAGAGGAGAGGGCAGCATTTGGTAGGACCTCACGCCTGCTGTCATGTCCCCAAAGTATCCAAGAGAAGATCTTGTGGATGAAAAGGATTCATCAGTAGGCAGCAAGTGATCCACCATTCCTGGATGATCTCTTATGGATATCCCAACAGCATATACCAGGCAGCCAAAGTTCAGGTGAAAGCCTAAGTGCAGGAAAAACAAAACAGCAGCAGTCAGAAGTTGGTTTAATCATTTATCTCCATGAACTGAAACTCGTAAAGCCCTCTAGCCCACAGGAAAGTCCAGTGCATCCAGCCTCCCTGGGTACACAGGCTGCTACAAGCTTTGATATGTCTGCACCACCCCCCGAGGACTGTCAGGGCTGAAGCGTTTTGCAGGATTGCACCACATATTTGCAAAAGAATGCTGTCAGAAATCATTTCCCAACCGCGTGTGCTCCAGATTTACAGCTCCCTTATAGAATATTACCAGCAAGAGAAAATAAATAACAAGCTTTCACCTAGCAGTGAAATCCAAAGCCAAAGAAGGGAATGAGAAAGAAAAAATAAAGTGTTGAAATTTTTACCACCAAAAAGAAACAAATAAAAAAAGTTTATTGCTGGTGACCATAAAATGCAAATCCTTTCCCTATCTTGTAGCTTTCCACCAACCTTATTTTTAACTTCCTCAGTTCTACAAATATAGGCTGTTCAGCATAATGAAAGGATCAATCTGGCAGGAGCCAAAAATATTTACTGTGCTTCAGCATTTACTAGGTGGATTTTCCCCTCCAGATGTAATGAATCAGTGTGCCAACGTCATCATCACCTGCACTGTCCTTAATAAGGCTGGCACTGCACTGAGCTAATTACCATGCCCTGCCAGCCAGCTGGTGGCTGCTTTCACCCCTCGGCTCCAGGGGCTGAGCTGCACGGCCACGGCATCCCAACCTGCTCCAGAGGGGCAGCATCCCGCAAATCCAGGCTCTCGTGGGCCCTGATCCCCCAGCAAAGCCCACCCTGGCCAGCACAGCCCAGTGCTGCTGAGAGCCGCGGTTCTCCTGCGCCTCACCCGCTAACACAAGAAAACTTCCCTGAAAGGCTGCTGGGGAGGGACAGGCAGGAGGGACATTTGCGTGGATTTTGTTTCCCCACCTCCCCAAGGGAAGAAAAAAACAAAAATTGCTTACGGAGGGAGATTATACCCTTTAGAGAGCAAAGGCAGAGGGCTCGGCATGGAGCGAACACTGGCCCTCAGTCATTCGCTCAAGGTGACTGATTGGAAACAGAGCTGTACATGTGCACAATAAAACAACTCTTTCTGTGGAAGGTATGTGGACTGCAGAGATAGAAGTCATTCGATCAGCCTATGAGCTGGTGTGTGTGTGTGAATTAGGAGGCATGTGACCCGGCGTGAAGGAAATGCCAGTCAATCTTGTTACACGCTGTCATTTTCCACAGGCTCTGCCGCTGCGCCCTGGACGCTTTGCCATGAATAGTCAATAGCTCCCAGTTTTGTGCAGGCGAGAGGATGGTTGTTACTGCTGTTGCAGAGCATCTTTGCAGCCTCATCTCCAAAATTTACCCCGTCTTTCCTTCTCTGGAGAAAAATCAGAAGGTGTGTGTATGCTCAGTGATGCAGAACACAGAGCGAGGTATTTTACACAACACCCTTAAAGAGCTCTGTCCAGTTGGCAACATTTATTAATATTTCCCAGGAAGGGGGGAAGCCATTTTTCTTAAAGATATGGCTTCTTCCTTCATAGACACATGGAGGAAACAGGGACAGGTTGAAATAAAGAATAAAAGAAAGATTGCACATCATCCTGCTGTGTCCTGTCAGTCAGCTGTGCCTCTGAACCAATAATGAAATACCTACTGTGCTGAGCATGAGGAAGTTCAAACAGAGGTTAGTGGCTCTGTTTTGTGACCTTAGCCTATAATCATGTCTTATAGTAAAAGCGAAGAGTCAGAAGAAATGAACTAACACACTTTTTTTTTTTTTAAATCCCTGTGCTGATGCAAAGTTCCCCCAGCAGAAGTCCCTTAGCTGAGCTATTCCAGTTTTGAAACAGAAAGCACCATCTGCTTCTGACAAATTAGTATTGGCATCTGGTAAGAATTCACCCAAGCTGATTGTTTCTATCTTGCAGCAAAAACTGGTGATTGCCTTGAGAAACACAGGGCAGAAAGGAAGAATTGCCCTCAGATGGTTTCTGATTCTTCCTCCAATGTCTGTATTATTCCAGCTTAAACTTCTGAAGAATGGGGCTGTGAGGGAAATCTGGACTGCAACATGTGCTTTTCTAAGAAAAGCTGGCATGCTCTACATGCACCAAAAGCAGTTGGTGAAGTTCTCTTAAAAAAAAATAAATAAAATGTTCAAGGTTTCTTTAAATGCTTGCAAGAGCTGGGAAGCCAAAAATCAAAATATCCATATATTTCCCTGGGAATAGAACTAAACTGTAATTTGAATAAGGACTTAAATGAGGGGGGAAAAAAACAATAATGAACCCCTCGCAATTGCTGTGGGCCGGTTACCTCAGCAGAAAACAGCCAGCAGGCTTGTTTCCCATCTCTTTTGACAAGGAACAATGTCACTCGATGTAACCAGAGGCTTTTTAAGAGAGGACTGTCAGAGCCAAATAGATGCAGGCACATTACGGGCCAGTTCTGCTTTCTGTGCACTCTCAAAGCTTGCAGAACAGCCAAGAAGATTTTGGAGAATGCCTGGAATGCAGGATCGGGCTCTGGCTATATTTTTTTCCTAAAGGCCAGGCTAACAAGCAAAATACTTTTATCCTTACTTTGCCTGAAGACACAGCCAAAAACAGAAGATTAGAAAACAAAACCAAAAAAAGCCGGGGCTGTGAAGGCTGTGAAAACTAATGATGCTGTTTCCATAACACACTTTCATCTCTAGGAACGCTGAAAACACGTTAGAAATGTAAGCACCTATAGTGGGACCGCAGAGCCTGAGCCACTGGAAACAGCCACTTCTGGAGTGAAATACAGCAGCTGTTCAGCAACACCACCGGCTCCAACTTTTTTTTTTTTTTTTAAGAGTTCCCTGGGTTGTTATGATGTCCTTTCTGCCAAAAACATGTTGTTCTCTTTAAAACCTGACCATCTAATTGCCAGCTAAAAAAAAAATAATGACAAAAAGCAAATCGGAGAAGACATATTTTGACGCAGAGAAACATTAAAATGTGAAGTGCTGGGAACTTGCTGAAACACGGGGATGTTTTTCCCAGCCTGTCATTTCTGGACAGTCAGCCCAGCACAACTGATCACACAGCATATATGAGACTCTGACAGTCATTTCCTATGTTTACTGCCATAGCTTTTTCTACTTTAAGACTAATCTCTTCAGGGTTTTCTCTTGTTCTAAATCTGTTCAGGCTGACTTCTGCTTCACAGACAGAGCCACAAACAAGGCAATGAAGCAGGCCCAGAGCTTCTAAGAAATTAAAAGAGAAACGCAAAGGGGGAGAAAAATAATAATAATAAAAAGAAGCCGTGAGCCAGGAGTAAATCCATTTGCTCTCATCTCTTCCGCAAGGTGGCTGTGCTGCTCCCCGGACACAGTGGGGTGTTCAGGTTTGTTTTTTTCCAAACCCGTTGCTCCTGGGAAGCTGCAGAAACATTCCCAAAGCTTTCTTCTCCGAAAACTATCCCGCTCCAGCCTCAAACTTTGGCTTCCACGGGAGGAAGCCCTTCACCTGCAGCGGGCACAGGCAGTGAGCACCCCGCTGCCTCTGCACCCCAGCAGCGAAGGGCGCCCCGAAAAAACTCGTGGCACCAGCGGCTGTGCAGGGAAAGGGTGCCGGGACACACACACGGAATTCCCACTCCGGCACGAGCACAGCCAGGCTTCCATGGCTGCAAAACATGTTTGTTTGGGGCATTTTTAACCGTGGTTTATTTGTTTGTTTGTTCCGTTTGTACAGGGTTTTTAAAAATTATTTTTTATGTATTGCTTTTTCCTCCCATCCCTTTTCAGGAGGCTCTGGGGGTCCCAGCTCCCTCTCTCCCCCCACCAGCGTGGTCGCGATGACCGGGAACAAACCCCCCCTCGCCGCCTGTCACTCCGCGGCACCGCTCCCGCCCGAAAACAGCCCCGAGCCGGGATGGAATTCCATCTGCCGCCTCGGCCGTGCGGAGCGGGGCTCAGCCCGGCCCCGCGGGCTGCGGAGCCCCCATCCCGCCCTTACCTGAACTCCTCTGCGAGCCGGGGGGCAGCAAAGGCCACGCACGACCAGAAGAACGCGACAACAACAGCGAAAACGAGGTGGGGGGGGAAATAAACCCAAACAACACGACCAAGCCACGAAAAAAAAAAAAAAAAAAAAAAAAAAAAAAAAAAAAGAAAAAAATTTAAAAAATTAAAAGGGCGAAAATAACTGTAGAATAGTAATAATAAAAAAAAAAATCAAAGAAAAATTGAAAAAGCCACAGGCGCGCAGTGAAGCGCGGGACTGAGCCAAGGCAGCCTTAGCAGCGGCCCGCAGAGGCAGAGCGGCGGCAGCGCGGAGCGGCGGAGGCGGGCGCAGCTCCCCCGGGAGGCGGGTGCGCGGTGCGGAGCGCGGCCCCGCTCCCGTAGTACTATATCCCCCTCACATGACGGCAGCCCGGCCGCGGCGGGGGAGGCCGGGGAGAGGCTCGACCGCGTCCGCCGCCCCCATTGGCCCCGGCGCGGCGGGGGCCGGCCCGGCGCCGGCCTCAATGGGAGCCGCGCTCGGCCCCGGGGCGGTGCCGCGGAGCCGGGACCTGCCGCCCCGGCACCGGGAATGGGTCTGAGCTGGGTCTTCCCCGGTGTGGGGAAGGGTGTTTTACCGCGAGGGTGATGAAACAGCGGGACAGGTTGCTCCGAGAGCCGGTTGATGATGCCCCATCCCTGGAAGCGTTCCAGGTCAGGTTGGGCTCGGAGCAATTTGATCGGGTTGGAAACGTCACTGCTCCTTGCCGGGAGCTGGGCTGGGTGGCCTGTTGATGTCCCTTCCAGCCCAAACCACCGTGAGAGGCTGTAAGTGTGCAAGCCTCTGGACATCTCCTGGAGATAAGCGAGTCCCTGGGGAGGTGTGAGGAGCCCCGGCCCTCTCTCCTGCCCCTTTCCTGCCTGCCAAAGCTTGATGGGGGATTTCCAACACACTGGATGTGTGTCCCACACACACACGCCATTGTTACTACAGACATCACCAGTTCTTCATACAAACACACATAATATATATACACATACGTATACACACAAACACACTATAGTTATGCAATACTCGGTATGGATCAGGATCTATGTTCAGCTCCTGCAGAGGAAGCTCACAGTGGGGCCAGCTGCAGCAGCAGTCAGGTTTTCTGCTCAATCAGTGGTTTTCCAAATGCAGTTTTGCCTTTTTTCAGTTTTCTTGGGAGCGTGCAGCCTGGGATATCAGAATGCAGTCCTATGACAACAGGTCTGTGCATCCTTTTGTGAGGGCACATGGGACAGCACACCCTTCCTTTCTCCCCACAGTAGCCCTTGCTGTCCTGAAGGGAAAATGAAGTACTATTCTCATTTTATGGGGAAACAGAGGCACAAAGGCTCAAACAAAAGGTGGCAGAACCAAGATGCAGTCTCATCTCTTTTCAAATCCAGCTCAATTTAAACTCACAAAAATATCCTCCATCTGCATTTCTTCAGAATTGCCAGTAACACACCCCACAACCTGGCAAACATAAACCAGTCTCTTCCCAAGAGGACATTCAGCCTCAACAAGTCCTGACCAGGCAGCAGAACAGGGGTGACCCTACAGGTGCTCCTTCATCCTGCTGGGGACCATCAAAGGAACTGGGGGAGCTCAGGGCTCTGCTCTCATGCACAGACCTCATTCTTCCTCTCCACATTGTCTCAATGAATAATGCATGAATACGTACTCATCAAAATCCTAGATTCTATATTTGTACAAATACATCAGGGCCAAATTCTGCATTAGTGTAACTTCACTGACGTAAAAAGGATTACGTTGGTAAAAATGCTGGCCTTAAATATTTTTACCCAAAATAGATGTTTGGCAAACCTCGCTTTACTGCTTCTTCTCAATTAAAACCCCTTTGTTTCCTGAGTAGGTGAAGTTTAGTGTGATTTAGCAATGCAAAGGACATGAAATTTAGATACAGCTAAAATCTGAGCCAACAAGGCCAGGCTTTAATGGATTTTGAACACATACAAAATTCCCTTGTAATGTTTATCATATGGAAACAACCAAAAGTTGCAATCTTAATTTCACCATTATTATAATCTACCTAGGCACAGGGACATGTTAGACATTTCTCTAACTTGCATTTTTTTACTTGCAAAAGGCAACGTCTTCATATTTTAGTCACAGTTATTCTGAACTTTCTTTAAATTGCTAGAGGTGCAGTGAAGTCCCATATTTACCTTATGTGGAAATAAAACGGTGTTTTCCCAGTTCTGCTTTACAAGCTTCATCTGTTTTACTGGGCCCACAACCTTTTCAGTTCCCTAAAAGCACTACTGGAGGCTGGGTCCTTTGCCCACTGTGCAGCATCAGGGCTGTGCTGTTGGCTGTTTCTGAGGCTGGAGATAGGAAGGTGAGAATCTGCAGTGGGCTCAAGCAGATCCAAAGGTGCTGCTGTGGGAGGGGATGCACAGCCTCCATCCCTTGTGGCAGCACCTGCCCCGTGTGGCTGCATGTTGTGATGGAGGAGGGACCTGGTACTTTTTCACATCTGAAGAACCCTACTGAGCATCTCAGGCTTTCAATACTGCTGGGAGGTGAAATGTAATGGAAATATGAGGAAAGTGTAACTAAGGCATCTGTAATTTTCCCTGAGATTTCCCTGTGGGGGAAAAAAACAGCAAAAAAAAAATATTAGAAATGCAGGCAGGCAGTGCACAGCACCTGGGAAGGGAGTGCAGAGCACAGAATGAACCCTGACCCAAGCTCACTGACACACAGTGTGACAAGTCCTGGATGCACCTTTTACCTATGTCCAGATCCCCTTTGCTGTGCACACAGAATCCATGGGAATCTTCGGCACGGCCCTTGTGTGGAGGCTCAGTGACTGCCTTCAGCATTCCTGCGTGTGCAGAGCTCTTGTGGAAATTGCTGCCCTGACCAGGCTGCTGGACATCAATACACCCAAGAAAAATATCCAAAGTCTTCTTTTTCTGCTCAGGCAGAATTTCTAGACAGAGAAAAAGGACATGTTAAAACTAAACAAACAGGATATATGATGGCACTACAGCACAATCCTGTCACCTTACAACAGAGAATAATGGGAAAATGCACAAAAGTCACTGTTTCATGGAATGCCAGCCTGGGGATGTCCTTGCTGAAGCATCCCTGCAGCTTCATCCATTACAGCATCTTTCCTGAGCAAACATTTTAACAGAGAAACTTCCATTCTCAGCTAGAACATATTTTCTTATCCACGTCTGCTGGGAGTGCCTCAAACTGCAGGCCTGGTTTTAAGGTCTGCAGGCCACTTTGGGGCCTAACCCCAAACCTGAAGATTGCAAGCTGCAGTGGCAGGTGCCAGCCTCTGAGCTGACTCAGCTCCTTTTCCACCCCTCCGTGATCTCTGCATGCACTTCTCAAGCTGTGAACTGCTTAATTCCTCTGAGCCCCACGACAGTGAAAGCAAGCTGACACACATCTAAGTTTTGCTCAAGGCTTTGGAAACACTACAAGTCTTTATTAACAGCAGGGGAAATGCACAGATCTAGACAAATATAATTACTTCTGATCCCTTTTTTCTGCCAACTTTTCATGAAAACCAGCAATGGCTGGGACAAGATTTTGGGAATGAATTTTTGTGCATCTGTGACTGATGTCTCATATCAGCGTCCTTCATTTGGTACTGCAGCACAACTGAGTCCTCATTCCATGCTGTGAAATACACGTGAATTTTCCCAACCCATCCATTTTGTGCATCAGGAAGAGATTTCCTTCTTTTTTTCACCCCTTCAACAACTCCTTTGGAAATCTACTGCTGCTTCTGTCCCTTGGTATTACTTGGGCATTTTCCATTCTCTCTTTTGCCACCTTTCAGGAGAGAACTTCAGTCAAACTGGTTGCCCTGCTCAGACAGCCTTTCTGGCATTGGCACAGCCCAGTCAAACACTGGTGATAACACAGAGTTAAGGTCCTTTTAACTGGCTTTTTTCTGACGGCTGTGTGCTAAAGATCTAGCCAGGAAAGGCAGATAAGCCTCAGCATTCCAGCTTTAAAAAATTTTCCTGAAGATAATAATTGCCCTGCTTTATAAAGTTAAAAAGGAGCCATAGGCTGAGCTGTTCATGAGTTGCTCTGTGCCACATAGCACAGAGCCTTTAAAGGTGGGAAAGGCAGCAAAGGTTCCTCCACACTCAGCAGTTTACACCTAGAATTGCCTGGCTCTGCTCATGCTTTGCCTCTCCTTTCATGCTCTAGAAGCTGACTTTTCCTGCCTCGGATTTTCTCCTCTTTTGTATGTTGCTTGCACAGTTCAGAGTTACAAATTACTCCTCGTTTTTAAGGGGACTTGAAAGAAAAGTGAACTTCATGGATGGACAAAAAGAAGGATTGTGTTGCACTGGGTGAGTGCTTTGCTGTCTTTAGAGGTCACCTGTGGTATTTCTGCCCCAGCCCCTGCCATTTCCCATTTACTGCAGCAGCAAACTATTAGTAATCTGATGAGCCAGCCAGCCACCTGGCAAAACAAGGGTTAGTCAGCCTGAATTGATTATTCACACATTTCCATCTGATTTACAAATCAAGGTTGAAAAAAGAAAAAAAATAATCAAGCAGAGTAGAAAAATAAATAAATAAAAAGGAACTTCAAATTCTATTTGTTGGCTTTGTGTGTTGTTTGAGGGTTTTTTTGGTTTTTTTAAGTTAGTCTCCTGCAGATGGATCCCTTCCATGTGCCACAAAGCCCATGGTCACATCCAGCTGAGCTCTAGTGGGCTTCAGCTTTCAGCACCAGAACAGTTACACAGGGAACAAAAAAGCCTGTCAGACTCTCCAGTAATGTTATGATCACATTAACTTAGCAGTCCTTGACACTCACAGATAAGGACTGTAAGTTCTCTCAGTACTACAGAAATATTGACACAAAGAATATGTTTATCCCTGGCTGTGTCTCTGCAGGACAAGGTGGAAACAGCAACAGCAATCTCAGGACTTAATTTCTTTGGCCTTGCCAGGGCATCTGTGCTCCAGGGCCAACAGTTTATTGATTTGAGGGTTTTTTTCTTTCCTCCACTGGTTTGGAAATTATGTTGTCTTTTCAAGTCAACATCATAGGTCCAGGGGGAGATAAGTTGGAAGAAAGTAATTTTAGGATTTTTTATGCTATTAGGCTTTTGACTGTTAAAGACAGTGGGGGGACCTGGGGAGAGTTTCTGATTTTCTCCCAAACTTTCTGTTCGTTAATATACTGAGAGAGAAAATGTTAGCTGACCTTCTGGCTGCATTTCTCTAAGCCATCTTTAGCCAGTCCAGCTCCAGCCTCGGGTTTCCATGTGCAAGCCCTGAACTTTAATCTGGCAAAAGCACCCACGGAGCAGAGCTGTTCCTGCTGACACCCTGGACATTGAGGGAATCAGACCCCTCTGCAGGGACTGGGGTGTGCTGGGGGTGTGATACACGAGTTGTCCCGTCACTGCCTCCCCTGGCTTGATGGCGAGCTGAAGCACAAGAGCTGGGGCTCGGTTCTTTACATCCTGCTCCTGAAGCTGCCCAGCAGGCGATGCCTTCAGTGGAACACACCAGGCTCATGGCAAGGGGTTCGAGAGCAAGGGGCACAGCCCAGCCCGAGCT